CATTCCTGCATCCAAAATCTGCAAAGAAATGTGGTTGCACTGTGACAGCCCTCACTCTGCAAGACAGAGAAATGGGGTCTGACAAATACTGGAAGGGCTCAACTCAAGAGCTTTTCACTGAAGCAAATAGCTTCAGAAACTGGTACATCTGCATGTTCTGCCCTTCAGATAGAGTTGGGAGGGTTTGGAAAATGGAAGGGAGGTCTAGTTATGGAAGAGATCAATGAGGGGAGAGGGTGACGAGGTTAAGACTGTCCAGGGGGCTATAAAAGAGTACAGCAGGTGGGTAGTGGTCTCCTTGGGTGGGTAAGGGAGTTTTGGCAGTGGGGGAGCCTTAGTCTGCTAATGAACTCTTTATTTTCCTTTACGTTCTCAAGAGCTAGAGAGGAAAAAGGGCAAAAAAAAATTCGACTGAAACCTGAAAAGCTCTTCCTCCTCCTTTTCTGGACCAGGGCCGTTGGGTGACCTGGATGTTCCCTGCTCCCGGAAGACGGAAACAGGTCCTGCAAACTCTACTGGGCTTAGCAGTGCTTTCACTGTGGTTCCTTCCCAGTTAAGACACGCTTCTGTTCTGACACCTCCCGAACCGGGCAACCTTGTTTCCTGCAACGTCGCTGCTTCTTCAGGACCTCGGACTTCCACATTTTCTACATTGCACAACTTCTCTTTTTTCCCCAAGGCCTCAAGATGTGGGATTTCTGGAGCGCTCTGGCGCTCTCTGCTATTATTTTCATCTAAAGCTTGATCAAGATGCGGCGAGTTCACAAAGCGGGTTTCACTTGGGACAGCTCTGCGTCCCTTATTGTCATCACCGGTGACGCCACTTATTTTAGGGCTTTCAAAAGCCCCCCCAGCAACACTAGCTTTTTCCTTAAGCGCTTCTTCTGACGGCAGCGCTTTGTCACAGTTTCCAGGGCCAAGTGAAGACCCTTCAATGTTTGATGGCCCCTTTTCACCGTTCACTTCTGGAGCAAGCTTTGAGCATTCGCCTTGTGACTCTTTATCCGCAAGGCAGGCAGCGACAATGTCTTCCATCCCCTCTGGCGCTCCCCCCACCTGATCTTTCCACGCTGTGACATGAAAGCTCTGATTTTCCATTAGGATAAATGGACCGCCCGAGGTTCTCGCTCTCTTCAGGCCTCGATTACATCTGGTTTTGCCTCATTCCTCATGTAACTGGCACAAAGATGTTGTTCAGAAGTCCTGGAGCCGGGGCTGCGTTCCCCACATCACACACAAACAGACCTGCTGGAAAACAAACACAGCATCCACGTAGCTTAGTAACAAAGCCATTATTCTCCGCAAGCCGCATCATTTGAAGGGAAATGCTGGATTCAAAGATAACAGCTGCCTCTACCTGAACCTCTGGAGTTCTCGCTCTCTGCTCCTTTCCCAGGCTCTGCCAGCCTGGCATCTGCTGCCACGTCTGCTCCTTCCTCCAACGCTGGCCCTTGCACTTGGCATTTCCAGGCCGATTCTGTGCACGGCATGAGCCGACTCGCCCCTGGCCAAACCCTCTTCAGAGCCCCCTCGCTTCACGGCAGCCGCTTTCTAACGGAGGCTTCCCCTTGGAGGGGGGCATGCCCGCCACCTCTCTGCTCCTGCCCTAATTCTTTCTGCCCAAGATGCCCAGAGGTCAACATATTTCTCCTAAAGCACCGTGCACACGTTCAAGGTTTTGCACAGCCATGAGCTGTTACACCCACACCTGCTCTGGTAACCTGTGCCATTGTACACACGCCTATACATGCTCATCTGATTTTATTCACCCACGCGTGCCCCAGAAACCCCCACGTGCCCGTGCACGTGCTGTGCAAGCAAAGGCAGGCTCTGTGCAACATCACGCACACCCCATGGGAATAAAACACAGCCTGACTGTAGCACCAGTCACACTGTGCGGCCTGGCATGGAGAGGGCCTCACCCTCCTGCACGAGGCAGGTGCAGGCAAGCATACCCTGCTCCGCATCTGAAGGGGGGAATGAGAGGGGGCACCACCACCCTACCACCAACATACTCAGCATGGGGGGGAATGGGGACCCCACCAACCTCTGAACTGGGGGGAATGGGGACCCCCAACATATTCAGCATGGGGGGGGCAATGGGGACCCCACCATCCTCTGGGCTCGGGGGAATGGGGACCCCAGCATCCTCTGCACTGGGGGGAATGGGGATCCCCAACATACTCATCATGGGGGGGGGAATGGGGACCCCACCATCCTCTGCACTGGGGGGAAGGGGGACCCCACCATACTCGGCCCTGGGGGG